TTTTAGTTCAATTGTAGTCTATATTTCAAATTGTCCCGGCGCCTCCACCAAAATTTGTTTTTAATATTTTTAATAATTATTGTTACATTTACGTATCTTCAAGATTATCTTGTTTTCAGCTTTAAATTAAATCGATAGATTACAGCAACCGTTTAGTAATTCTCAGTAATTAAATCCATTTTTAAGAGCTCCTAATTAAAACATGTACAAGTTTTCAACCGAATTTTCGAATTAGATATCTTTAAAGGTATTACTAATTAATCAGTTATATTAACATAATATTTTGTTGTTTAATCGATTATAGTATTGAGTTTCACATAAAAAAGGTATTTCTGTGCGAAAAATGGCTTTCTAGTTTTTTTGTAGTTACACTACTAGAATTTGTAATATTTATCGTATGTTGGGTTGTCTAAACACTATATTTCGAATGGTAATTTAACATATTGTAGAAATATATAAATTAACATCCCTAACGACATTAGATACAAAAAATATGGTTTTATGATGAAAATTCCTAAATCTACTTTAATTAAACCAAAATTACAGCTCAATTGTAGCCTCTCTTGAATTGTCCCGGCGCCTTCACCAAAATTTGCCTTTAATTTTATTAATAATTTTTTATAGCGTTTATGTATCTTCATAAACCTCTAGTTTTCAGCATTAAGACGATAGATTACAGCAACAATTTACTTAGTACTGAGAAATTAAATACATTATTAGCAATTCCAAATAGAAATAAAAATAAATATACAAAAGTTTTCTACCAAATTTTGCAACTAGATATCTTTAAAAGTATTACCAATTAATCAATTATATTAACATAATATTTTATAGTTTATTCGATTATAGTATTGAGTTTCAGAGAAAAAAAAGGTATTTCGGTGAGAAAAATCGTTTTCTAGTTTTCTTTGTAGTTACTAGAGTTGTTATATTGTATATTGGGTTGTCTATACATTATATTAAGATTAGTAATTTAATTTATTGTAAAAATATATAAATTATCATTCCTAACTACGTTATATATAAAAATACAGTTGTGTGATGAAAATTCATGTATCTATGTTAATGAAACCAAAATTATATTGCAATTGTAGCTTCTATTTTAAATTGTCCCGGCGCCTCCACCAGAATTTTCAATAAATTTTTTTAATAATTATTCATAACGTTTGTGTATTGTCATGAATGTTGTTTTCTGCATTAAAACGATAAGAAACAAACATAATTAAACAGTCGTAATTAGTAACTAAATACATTTTTAGCAGCTCTAAATTAAACTGTTAAAAACCATATATTACAAGAACTGATCTTTAAAATATATTTACATAATACTTTGTGGTTTGTTCAGGATAGTATTTCACATAAAGAAGCTAAGTATTTCCATGAAAAAAAATCGTGTTCTAGTTTTATTTGTAGTTACATTACTGGAGTTGTATGTTGGGTTGTCTAGATATTATATTGCAAACTTTAGTTTAATTGTAAAATGATAAGTACAAATTAGCATTCCTGACTGTGTCTACATAAAAAAATATTACTTATTTATGTAAATTCATGAGTTTGCTTCAATGAAACCGGAATAATAGATAAATTATAATCTTCGTTTTAGAAAAATTTTATTGTAAATTTTGGTGATGGGACACCAAAATTTACAATAAAATTTTTTAGTAACTGATTTCAGTACGGCCCTAATCTATGATAACTTTGGCCTCCCACTAATTTTGACCCCCTGGGTTCCCACTGCTCATGCCCTCACCAAAATATTCGTCTAACCCTTCCCTACATCCCCATTTAAGAGGCATCTTTGTTCAATAGGGTGCAAGCCATTAATAGAAAGACTCACAACTCCGAAATCCTCTTCTACGTGGACACCCTGCGACTTTAAATTTTCCACGAAAACGCCCAGTTTTTCGTCAATATTACCAGCAGAAACGGCAATAACCAAATGTATTCTCCTTTTCTTATCCCTAAAACAACATGAAACTGGGATGTAATCTTCAGTATTATCAAGAATTATATATTGTGTAGTCATATTGCCATTTAAAACAAATATGCCAATAATTATATTATAAATGTCAATGTTTTCATTTTAATTTCAATATTGTAAAATCCCTCACCCCTTGAAATTTTATACATGCAAACACAAACGAATTTTATATTTGCCTATATGTGTATAAAACTCAAAAACATCTTTCACATCACTAAAACTGCAATGATATTTTTTAGTGCCACATAATTCCATATATTTTCTCAGTACATAAGAAAACAATTTATTGTAGCCAGTTTTACTTCCTGATACCTTTATGTAGTGTAACTAATAGTATTTTCGCCCCTCCCTATGAAAAAAATGTTGATGCTAATAAGTATCCATGCAAATTTCTCAATAGTACGTAATAAAATAATTAAACTAATAACTTTAAGTGATAAGTATTTATTAGTTCACTCATTTTACAGTTCAAAAATCCATTTTATTTTATTTTATCAGTAGTATTAAAATACAAAATCAGAGAAATGGTATTATTAACATTTCTAATCTCCTTCAATTGCAACCTCGGTGATTGCCTGGACGTGGAACGGCCCTTCCTTGACAAACGCTTGTAATCTTAATTGTGTAATCTTGTCAAAAACTGGACTGGATGATAACAAGTAAATTATATCAAATGTTGCCTCTTTGCACTCCTTCATTGTTTCTACTCTTCTGTCCAGTAGAAATTCTACAAGGCCTGTCGAATATAAAAGTAAAATTAAAGGACATGATAATTTTAAAAGAATAACTGATAATTTTTACCAGGTGTATTTTTAATGTTTTCTTGCCCCCAATGATGTCCACATAAGGAATTCAAAATTCCAAGACCAGCTAAACGAATTTCGGAAAATGGATTTTTCACATATTTAAAAACGAAATCCATCCCATCATCGCCCAGTTTATTAAACCATTTCTGGATCAAGTTGGAAATTTTAGGATCAGAATCCTTCATTCTAAATAGATTTTCCAGAAAACTCATTGCTCGTAACTTAACTTCATTTGGTAATGAGCCCAATCTCTCCCGTACAATTTCAACAGCCCTCAATACTTTTCTGTCACCTTAAAGGAAACACAATTTTCATTACCTGGATAATTAGTTATCTAAGAGGCCACAAAAAATATAAACTAATTACTAACCAGCAGTATCTAATGCTACTTTTCCCTCGTTAGTTTCCCCAATGTGCCCAAGAATATCAAAGGAAACAGCAACCAAAGGAAAATCAGATGATTCTAAATTATGAAACAGCCTGTTCAGTGGCACCTGGTACTTAGAAAGAACTTCTGTTGGCTTCCAGTAAGCCATATGACCAAAAAATCGCAAGATTCCTGAAAATTTATTCTTAAATGAAGTTAATATTTTAATTAATTTCGAATTAGTTACCTGGTTCACACAGTTGCAATGATAATTGATCAGAACCTTCATTAAAATATTGAAAAAGCTTCTGAAAAACTCCTTGTGATTCTAAATACTTGTATCCATGTTCAGTAACTACTAATTTTGAAAGTATCTCAATAACATTAATTCTAAGGAGGACATCTGTGTTCTCTAAATCAGTCAATATTTGAGACATCAAGCCAGTTGATTCTAAAAGCCTTTGAGTTCCATCAGACTCTGCTGCAATATGTACAAAAACCTGTAGAATATAAACTGTTAGTATATAAATGTTTATCTACTTTTTGCAAAATTATACCTCATAAAACCTCAGTTTAATAACTTCATTAATGCTCATCGTTTTTCCAATTGCATTAAGCATCTCTGAAGATGTTAACTGCCTTATTCCAGTTGGTGTGGAACTTAAAAGAAGTATTACATCTGAAGCATTTTTAACAACTCCCAAATCATCATCTCCTAAACATTTTACTACACTCTCTAAAAGGCTTTGTTTTCTACACAACTGACAGTGAATTTCTTCGTCCAAAGCGTTGCGGTGAATTTCCATTAAGGCCATGAGCTTCACAGAAGGATTCGGATGATTCAAAGCCCTCTCTAGAGGTACACAATAACGGTCTATGCTTTCTCCTAAGGAAAGTTTGGACATACATAATGACAGAACTTCACAAGCTAAGTTTATTTGGTCCCTGAAATTGTTCAAAATTAATAGAAATTTATTCTTTTCACATTAAAATAAGGTTATGATAACGATGACTTACGAGTTTGAATTATTGAGACAATCAAACACTAAAGGCAATTCAAACTCTTTTGCTGTTTGCACAGCTTCTTCGAATGGTAATTCACTTAAATGCTCCTTAATTTCGTGTAAAACAGGAATTCTGGAGTCGTCGTGTAATAATTTAGAAAGTTTGTCCGAACACCACTCTTGGCGCGACATTTTTAAATGTAATTATCTATGAATGTAATAAAAAATTTATTTGTAAACAAACAAATGTCGAGTTTATAATCTTTCACATACAATAAGCAATAACCATCTAATTTTTATTTTCAAAAACCCTTGAATATGTAAATTTTATACTCATGCCTCATACCGACCCATATTTATTTATTATTTATTCATAAACTATTTTTTTTCATACGTTAAATAAATTTTGCTGGAATAATATTTCAGCTTATTTAGTAGTTTAAATANTATTATAATTATTATAATTCCTTGGGTTAAGTAGCCACTATTTAATAATTGGATGTCTGAATGAATATACCTATCAATGGCCGAGAATTCGTTGGAATATAAGAAGAGACAAATAAACATAACCTCTATGTATAACCTGTAATTTTTATTGAAATTTCAACATTATTTTACACTTAATTTCTAAGCAACACCACATAGAAATAAAAACTAATTGAGACTATTTCATAATTAACATAACGAGCAGTTTTTATTGTTAATGTGTGGATGTGAAAACATGAGTTCTGATTCAGAAGACCTTGATAATACTAAGGAAAATGATTCAAATGTAAGTTGTTTCTTCAATTGTGTTATATTTAGTAAAACATTGTTGATTATAGCAACTTAAGGTATGCTGTATTGGTGATTTGTACAAGGGTGAAATATTTAAAACCATCATTGCTAATGATTTAAATAAAATGAAGGAATTATTGGTATCTAAAAATTACTTATCTGCTCAAGACAACAATGGTCATACACCTCTTCATCTAGCCGTTATTACCAACAAGTAGGGGCACGGCAAAATTCACTTCATTTTAAAAATATAATTGTTTTCAGTAAAGAAATATTGGATCTTCTTCTCCAGCAGCAAGACATTGATATAAATGCTTTAAGTTACTCAGGAGATTCTCCTTTGCTGTTGAGTTTAGCTCTAAGGAGAGAGGAAGATTTTATATTAAAAATTATAGAATCAAAATGTAATGTCAACACTTGTAATGCCACAAACGAGACTGCATTACATATGGCTGCTCAATGTGGCTACACAGTTGTAGGCAAAGCTTTAATTGAAAAAGGGGCAAATATTAATGCAAGAGACAGTTCTGGATTTACACCTCTTCATGAGGCTTGTTGCAATTTACATTTAGAGTTTGTACAGTTGCTGTTGAATTATAATGCTGATGCATCAGTAAAGTGTGACTCCTATCTAACACCTTTTATGATGGCTGTTAATAATACAGATAATCCTAGGATACCTTTGGAATTATTGGAGAAAGAATTTTGCCTAAATAATATAACTATCGATGGTTATAGCACTCTGTTATTATCAATTAACAGCTTCAATCCAATTGCTTTTGAATTAATTGAAAGAGGGGCAGATATTAATCATATTGCTCCTGGTGGTCACTGTACACTAGAACTGGCTCTTTTTTGGGAGAATTCAAAATTATATAACGCAATATTTTCAAAGTTTTACAAACACTTGTTGAATACAAAATTTCTAAATTCACTTTTTACAAAATGTAAGTTTCCAGGGGAAGAGTGGGGTCTTTGTACAATTGAATTATTAAATTGGGATGATTCACTGCAATTATTTCGAAAATATTTTAAACAGAAGCCAAACCATTGGACTTTATGTTCAATAAATGGCATTCCTGCAAAAATGAGAGTAGAATTAATTAATAGATTTCTATCACTGGACATACCAGTTACAATAGATGCCGCATTTGAAGTGTACAATAAATATGGGTTTAAAGAGGAAATGGAAGCTGTTCTAAAAAGGAACATACCTTATCCACATCAAAAACGAACAACAACATTGTTTTGCCCAATTTTCTATGGAACTGTTTTTATACATGTGAATTTAAGAAAACTTGTGATTAAACTTCTTTGTTCTTATGAAAACTGGAGTATAGCTTTGGAAGCTTATATTAAAAAGTTCATAAATTTACACCAGAGTACAGTTCCTTCCTTAGTTGAATTAAGCAGAGATGCTTGCAGAAACTTTATTAAAAAAAGATGTCGTTGTAGCGGCGGTTCTTTGGCATACCACCAGTTTTTAAACTCATTAATGTTACCTCAAAAAATAAAGGACATCATCAGGCTTAAAATTCCAATATATTCTTAATTTCATTGTTCCCAATCAGTATTTTTTTTTAATATTTTATGTGATTTAATTTTTTTTAAATAGAGAAGTATAAAGTTTATTACTTAGCAGTTTATTTTACTGTAAAATACATAAAATTTGTCTATAATATGCCAAACTTTGTCCCGAAAACTTTCACGGAAATAAATGTATTCTTAAATTTTTAGGTAACGACATAAATTAATGAAATAATTGATTAATTCTTAATATGTTTTTAACATTGAAATGATATGTAAAATATTATAATTGCAGTCTGAGTAAACTTTTGCGCAATTCAGTCCGTATCTACCTGCGTACATTGCGTCTGCATATTTTTCGTCTAAGTTCTTATCTAATTCTCCATCTCCATAATCTGGACTAAAATTAAAAAAAAAAAAGCGAAACTCAAAATGTAATAATTAATTATCAAAACATTTTTTACTCACGTTAATAAAATGTGAAGGATATGTCCGTATAGTCCGTTATCTTCGTGATAAAAAGACTCGCTAGCATTTTCACAAATAGCTTTACATAAACAATCTTTACCATTAACACCATACCTAAAAAGTTTTTTAATAATAATTCTTTTTAGGTGTTTATATTTGTATAAAAATCTTACTGGGGTAATACTTTTTCCAATCCTTCGTAAATAAGCGATCTGTCTTCGTCCCATAATATTTCGCGTTTAGTACGGAATGATCGTGAAAAAGAAGGGGGAAACCCCGATTGCAATTGGGTAATATTTTGTGCAACGGGATATTGAAATTGGAAATTAATTGCATAAGTCAATGACTGCCTTGTACCAATTTGAATAGGTACTGCTATCCCTAACACCATCTAGATATAATAATTTTTTCCGTTTCAGTCGTTATTAACAAATGAATGTATTGCATGTAATTATTTTTTTGTTGTAATTCTTTTGTTAAGAAAGAAATGAACTTACTTTATATGTTCCTCCATAGGGATAAACTAAGACGTATCGTTTTTCTCTTGAACTTCTTTCACACGCAACATTTAAAGAAAAACTGAAAATTAGCAGTAAAAGTTTCATTTTCCTAGTACTGTAGTAGTCTCTCAACTGCTATTTCGTTTTTACCTCCAAGAGAACTAAGATACTAGAAAGAAACGTTGCCAAAGCATTAGTCACAAGTTATTTGGTATTATTTAAGCTTATTATTCGTTTTTAAAAACTTTTAATTCATTTTTTTAATTCGTTTTTCAAAATTTAAATTCATAACAATTTATTATGAAAATAAATCATGATAAAAGGACCATGATTGATAAGGTACATTTTTCGACCATAATGCAATCAATCATTTTTAGAACGGTTTTATTGCCTAGCAAAAATTGCGAATTTATAATTAAAAAAGTACAAATAATTTTATGTTCTTATATAAATTATTGATTAAATATAAATTATCTAATTCTTCTATCGTCTACGTTATGTGCCAAGTGAATTTTCAGATTTTATTATGTACTTTAAATTAAGAAACTTTGAAAATGTGAAGTTCCCCCTTCTTTCAAATATCGAAAAAGTATAAATAAGTTTAATGATTTTCTGGATGATTTGGCAGCGCTTTAAGTAACTGTAAAGTTTTGGTTTTTATATTTGAGTAAAAAAAATTATTTACTCATTTCATTAGAGTTTATGTCTCCAAATAAACAGAAAACGTCACATCCAATTCCTTAAGCAAACTTCTTCACATGGAAGATTGGCGATATTTACTAGAAACGGAACTTTTTTACACGAAAAGGAATATCAACTTTTAGCTTGAACGTTAATTACTAAACAATAAACTGTTTCTACATCAACTAATTATTAATTTATATATCTACCAGAATTCTGAATAAAACTTCATGAAAATGATTGATTGTTAAAAGCAATCGAACGAAGACTGAATTTAACTTGTTAGCGATAAAATATTTCATAAATGAAAAGCCCAGCAATTTCTGAAAGGAAACAAAAACAAACGATAACTTTTTACCAAAAACTTAAAATAACACTTAAGAAACTAATTAAACAACGAAATTAGGTTTTTCTAACTTACGATTTACACATAACACAAAGGCAAAAACGGCTAATAATATCGAAACGAATTATTAATTTTAGTGTAAAATTAATTACTGTTTATTTAACATGTAGTTTGAATTTGAATAAAAATGCGCGGTATGTCATGTTGCGACATCGATAGGTACATGCATGAACTAATGCGAAGTTTGTTAGCTCATTGGGCAACAGATGGCGTGGCAGTGTTTTTTCCTGAGGTCCCATTAATTTAAATTTTAGTTTTAACGTTTGACTTATTAATTATTGTAGACATTAAATATAATATTCAGTTATAATTCTTGCAAATGCAATTTTCAAAAATAATTTTGAACTACATTTACTACAATTAATTAAATGAAAGGTATTTTTTATTAAAGTCTGCAGTTATTTTATTGAAAATTTGAATATTCAAATGATTGGTAAATTAATTTTAATAAAAGATCTATTCGCATTTGTCTTTTACATGATTTTTGTACAATTTTTTTTGACAAGGACACCATCTTACAGTTCTAAGAAAAAGTACAATTGTCATCATCAGTTGGTGCAGTGGTTGATTTAAATGTACCTAATGTATATAGAGTGAAAAAGTGTACATTGACTGTTGCGCAATTTAAAGCTTGTTTTTTATTTAAAATCAACAAAATGCCTGTGTTTTGTATAATCTTGTAATGGTTACAGTGGTGAAGTAAGTGAACCATAAGCACATTAGCGATTTAGCGTAAATTTTCTTCACCAACTGCATTTTTTGTGGTAGTGTCATCTGGAAGCCATCTTGAAGTCTTGCTACTGTTACGAATATTAATAAAAATAAACATGAATTCTTAAATAGATTGATGGATTCTCCACATTAAAACGATAGATTACAGCAACCGTTTAGTAATTCTCAGTAATTAAATCCATTTTTAAGAGCTCCTAATTAAAACATGTACAAGTTTTCAACCGAATTTTCGAATTAGATATCTTTAAAGGTATTACTAATTAATCAGTTATATTAACATAATATTTTGTTGTTTAATCGATTATAGTATTGAGTTTCACATAAAAAAGGTATTTCTGTGCGAAAAATGGCTTTCTAGTTTTTTTGTAGTTACACTACTAGAATTTGTAATATTTATCGTATGTTGGGTTGTCTAAACACTATATTTCGAATGGTAATTTAACATATTGTAGAAATATATAAATTAACATCCCTAACGACATTAGATACAAAAAATATGGTTTTATGATGAAAATTCCTAAATCTACTTTAATTAAACCAAAATTACAGCTCAATTGTAGCCTCTCTTGAATTGTCCCGGCGCCTTCACCAAAATTTGCCTTTAATTTTATTNGTAATGGTTACAGTGGTGAAGTAAGTGAACCATAAGCACATTAGCGATTTAGCGTAAATTTTCTTCACCAACTGCATTTTTTGTGGTAGTGTCATCTGGAAGCCATCTTGAAGTCTTGCTACTGTTACGAATATTAATAAAAATAAACATGAATTCTTAAATAGATTGATGGATCCGTTTCACACTAAGATCTAATTAACGAAAATTAAGTATGAAACAAACATAAAGGTAAGCAAGTTTTCGTTAGCATTCAAACTCGTTTGCAGTTCATGAATGTAACGGTTTTCTTATAAATGCAAATGTAGGCCATTCATGCAGTTCATGCTAACATTTGGCGCCAAGAAATATTCGTTTTATGGTAAAAGTGTTATTACTACCCCTTACCAGCATGAACAATAATTATTCTTATTTCATTTACTGATAATACAAACGTCAGTTCTGTCCCAAATTCAGTAAATGCATATGGTTTCAGAACACTTTTGCTGCAGGTGTTCATACCTTTATAATTTCTTGAATTAAGGAAGGTTTTATTCATAATATGTAAAAGAAACCCTAGTTTTTATAGTAAACCTGTGATAGGTGTTGTACTTTGGAAAGGCCAAAATGTTAGGTTAGTTTAGAATTTGTTAACATTGTATTATGTTATTATTTATTTAGGTATATTATTCTTCAGTATTTTTCTAATAGCTCTTTAAAAAGAAAAGATGGCAGGCAGTGAAGGATCAGGACCTACAGACCTACTGAGCGGTTGGTCCTGTGTGGTACACCGACCAAGTGAAGATCCTGAACCTTCAGAGCTTCCAAGTACAGTTGATATGGCTGCTTTCACTTCTGGTTTAAGTGTAGAGGCGACTCAAGGCACCCAACACCAGGATTCTTGTGATTCTGAAAGTGACTCGGATAGTGATTCTAATGTAAGTAATTACTTTCTTTATTTAAGGCTTATTTCATTAATTTACCAATTTCTGTTTTGACGGAGTAAGCAAACGAATTTTCTATCTATTTTAGAATTCTGGGAGTGAAATATCAGGCTCATGCAGTCCATCAGATTCATCTGATTCGGAAACGTCAAGTTCAAGTGCAGGTTCGTCATCCGGGAGCTCATCCCCGGAGTTTTCAGTCACCAGTTCCCAGACCAACGGTCTTCGTTTAAAAATAGCTACCGTACGAAAATCATGTGCGAGTCCTGTAGAAAAAACATATGTAAAATCGAAGACAGTGCCTCAGGAGTGTACCAAAGGATCCTCAGTGGTAGTGCCACATAGTACGCTGACATCTACATCAGAGGAGAGTGCCTGTTCTCAATCTAGCTCAGATTCCAGCAGTGATTCCGAAGATGAAGAAGAAGATGAGAAAGAGATAGATAAGGCCCAGCATTCAACAACAAACACTAAACTAGGAGACACCATCTCGGATAATAATAAAAAAAGTGCCTCTGGTGCTGTAAGGAAACAACAGGTGCCTGTGACAAAAAACACAGAGAGGAATGTGCAGGAAAAGAAGGTAGTCAAGAAGGAGACATCCACTAGTTCAAATGGTCAAAAAGGAACTGCGAAAACGAAGACGAGATCATCGAGGCGATCCAGAAAGGTGAGTCATCCTTTATATGTTAATTATATTCTTTTAAAATTATTTACGTAACTGCAGTACCTTTTTGTGTTCATATTTTGATCACGATTAACATTATATTAAAAATAACTTGTGTAGAATTTAAACAAGGTGTAAACTTAAAAAAGAACTTCGAAATATTTTCGATAAAACTTAAGACTTCAATTTGGTTTTTCAATTTGTTCACTAAAAATGTAATTGCACTATGTGTAATATGCCTTTTTCTTGTGACTTTTTTGGTACTAGGTGGTTGCGCAAATCGATATAATTATTATTCCTGATTTTAAAACATTCTGTTTCTAAATACGTTGCATCGTTTAACCTTCATCACGAAAACGACCATCAGAAAGGTCGTGCACTTCTTGAAGATGACCTTTGAATTTTAATATAAAATTTCTTTGAATTGGATTTAATGTTCCATTATTGTCTTTTTTTGAGTCTTTCAAATACGTATTTAAATGCGTATTTGTACAACATGAGTACAATTTATTTCTAAATAACTTCTGTTATAATTTAATCAATGTTTATTGGGTTACACAAAAAATAGCAAAATATTCGTTTATTTTTTCCTAAGACGGTGGTAAATTGCTCTTTATTGAAAATCAGAATAGCGTTATTTCCTATTTAAAAAGGTCAAGCGATAAAACATTTGTCTTACACAATACATCACATTAAACAAGAAGCAAAGTAAAAGAGTTACGAAGGTTGTAAATGCATGGTGTTTTATGAAGAACACGCGGGGGCGTGGAAATGGTAACTCTTCAACAACGAATTGTTAGTCTGCCTACGACGCAATTAACCCAGACAAAAGGACTCAGTTTGTTCCTGTCAATTTTGCCGTTTGTTTGTCCCCTTGATAAAAAGCAGATTAATTTATAATTGGCTCGCCCTGAGACCACGTTAATGCGGTGTATAATTTTATACCGCGCTTTTCAGCTACCTATAGTCTATTCTTATTACTTAGTAACTGACGTCAGGCTGTAATAAAAAATACTGTTGGTCGACTGTACTAATGATATTTGAATTATAACGTTTGTAAGCGTAAATATATACATATTAATTGAAACGATTATAACAAGAACAATATTTATATTTTTAGGAAAATCCAATGTGACCACAACGTTTGAAAAAGAAAATAACGTTGTGAAATAGGGAACTAAAATAAATCGTAAAATTTAGATACGAAATGAAAAGTTACGTTATATTGTGATCATGGTGATCATTAATTGTCATTCTCTAGTGGACTAAGAAACGACACCAAATCATTAACTACGGATAATATGTTTTTATCCATTACCATTCTTCAACAAATCACAATATGATATAGTTAAATCATATTACGTTACAAACTTCCGAGAGATGTGCTCTGGAGATCTACATCATAGCTTAGAATTTGGGAGAACACAGGTTCGATATCGGATCTAGTCCAAGTTTTTTTGTGGTGTTCCTGAATCACTTAGGCAAATGATGGGACAATAAAATGTTCCATAGATAATCTTTCACTTCTTCCCTTATTTATTTCGTTTATATCATCCTTTTCCCAGCCACGATTCCAAAAAGGACGCTGAAGAGGGCCTTCCACCCTACCCATCGGCTTTGCTTCATTCAATCTCTTAGTAGTGTCCAGTTCATTTACTTTCGAGTATTGGATGGATATTACAATGTTTACAACTATTGGTGATCTGAACCACAAAACCCACAATTTGATCGAAACAATATCGTTATTTTTCTGGCCGTGTTCTTTTAATTGTTATGTTATTTCCTCTGTGCGTTGTGAATACGGTAGGAGTAAATAGAGCTTCGTTAGGTAGCAACTTTGTGACTAGAAATTTTGTAAACAGGTCGAGTTTTGAACATGTGTATGTAATATTTTGAGAGCGATTATTGATTTCAGTTCTATCCTGGAGAATGAATGTTTTAACAAAGTTACACGTGTATGAGTCTGCGATAATAGTCGGTTAATTAATGGTCAATAAAACTTGCGACATGATACGACATCGCACACCGACCACATTCCTTCTCGCTCTAAATCTCGATCCACTCCATTCTTGCGCGCGAAAATGATTTTCGAATGAAAACGACGACAACGGTAATAATAATAGTACCTAGTAAGTGACTTAACGTGGTCGTTTATTGCTTTTGTGTTGTCGTATTCATTTCGAACAACTCAGACGAGGATTGAGTGAGGTTGAAGCTTCGGTGCTTCGGTTGTTGAAGTAGCGACAGCGACGACGAAGAAGAAATAGGTGGTGGAGCGACGCGCTGCGCCGTTTGCAGTCCGGTTGCTCTTTCATTCTTCTTCTTCGCGATAGTAATTACTGCGCGAGGGATAAAGCAATTTGTATTATTTTCGTTCCGTTTCAAAGCCAGTTAGATTTATTGGAGCGATAATTGTTTTTTCTGTCTCTTTAAGGGGATGAAAAGTTTACCTACTTTTGTTTTTTTTTTTATTTCTTCGATGCGGTGTTGACTATTCGGTGCGCAATACAAATTAAGTGTGTGAATCAAAATTGTGGTAAAGATATTTTTTAAACTACTCTTAGCCAATTTCAGACTTAGATAACGACGAAGTGGAGGTTGTGAAAAGCAATTCGAAGTTTCCTGTTTTACTTGTGAACGAAATAATTATTTTTCCAAACAGTTTATTCATTTGATAGATAAAAAAAGAGTTTAATAATAACTTTTCGCATGTCGCACAACACCCAGATAGCGGAAGTAGAAAGATATTAGCTTTAAATGCCTAGCAGAGAATTGTTTTTCTTTGTAAAACTTTTCATGTTTACATGATATACATATTTATTAGCTCTTCCTGAATGGACGAAGTACTGCCATGACCTAAATTCTTTGTTTTTTTACTTTGGCTTAATTGGAAGGTCTGAAATATTTGTTTTGCAAAAACTCTAGAAGATATTTATAAAGTTTAAAAATTTTGTAAAGTTTAAAGGTGACTGCACGTGATTTTTAAAATTAATGTAAATTTTTATTGAATAACGATTGGTATTTTGATTTTTTCCTTTACTATTCTCGTTTAAAAGTGAAGTAGAAAACTTCAAGGCTTTTAATGTAAAAGAACCTCGACAAACAGAAAGGGCTAGAGAAAAAGGGGTTCGCACACCTCGACCTTACATGCACGTGTTGTAAAAGCTAATTGACTTCTTGTCAAGGGTTAAAATACCCAGTACGTGTGTACGGGGACTGTTACGGTGATTGAATGTAAAAGAAAAAAAACAAGAAGAAGAAAACACAATCGGCGACAGTGGTCTATCGATTGTGTCTGTGCGTGGGTGGCGGTAGGTTCACTTTATTCCTCGATTTAATACCGTGCGTGTGATAACAAGTTGCGTTTCTCTAATGGTGAGACACATGGAGTCCGGTGGCGACGCTTTGGACGTCGTCGATGGCGAGGTCGAGGGCGCGCTAGCCGAAGGTGTGTGGGAGTATGTCGATCATCTTGTCAGCACTTACCACCATTCCTTGGACAGCAGTAGTGACTTTGATAACAGTCACTATTATCGACAGGTAAAATCTGCCGAGAATTAAACTAGAATTACTTATTGTGTTTATAGTCCTTAAAATGAAAATTATGTATGTTTATTGTGTTGTACTTGAATATTTTAATTTGTCAGAAAGATGGGAAGAAACTTGGTGGAAACGGTTTATTATTCCTGTTGTTATTGTCGGTGAAGCGGCTCTAGATATTTTTTTGTTTTTCTTTTCATTTTCTGTTGTTGTCTCGTCCCGCCAACGCTGGCGGCAGTCGAGAAAATGAAAAGCTGTAAAACGATTGTTCGCGATCATACTATGCTGCGAATCTTCTAAGCGGAGGGCCTTAATCATTTATTTTAATTAGGAGAACGGCGGCAGACAACAGGAGTGGCGAAGGGAAATGTGAAGGGACAGATCCAAGCGTTCTTAATTAAAATATGAATCTGGTCGGTGAAGAGATTTCCGGAATAAGAATTGGGGTGACTCCCAAGAATCTCTGAATAATTTCATCTCGTTTAAAACTAAAAAAAATATTTTCGCTGAGAGGGAGGAGGCATACCTCCAGAAATAAAAATTCGGTTGAAAGATTAAAACTTCCGGCCAGAAGAGTCTCTCTGTATGTATGTTTTGGAGAATTTCCCGGCTAGTTCTGATGCGGCATTTGTAAAAAAAAAATTGGGGGAATTGAATTGAATCAGAAGTGGATTGCGTCTCAAAGCAAGGACGTAGAAAATGAGAGAATGTTACTCAACAACCAACGCAAAAGCTTCTCACTGTTATTATAAAAAGTTTAGATGGGAAAAAGTGAAATGAAAATCCATCCCCAATCGGTAGTAGTATCGTGTTCAGGTGGAACGTAGAATAATACCCGGCATGTGGTCTTTCCCTGGCCTTGAGACGACTTACGAATAGAAGGTCTGAGAACCGCGTGCGAGAAACATAATCGTAGTACAACTAACGCAGAACCACACACACACACACACACATATGTAATAACAATAATAATAATGAGGGACGGACCCCGATTTCCGAGGCCGATAATAATTAGTCTCTCTCTCGAAAACAAAAGAGTCAGTAGACGGTGGTATTACGGACGAATCCATGGGCCGAATCTTCACTTCCTTCATTACCATTGCGCGCCAGTTGGTTATTTTATCTCGCGGCATCTGCGAAGAAGGAAGACCCTTCTTCGTCTACTCGCCACGTCCGGTTTCACTCGCAAAAAGCAATAAAAAACCGAAATTGACGAGAAAACAATTGCAAGTGACTTCGTTCCTTGCACATTGCCATCATCGTTTGTCTGCTTGATTATTCGCAACAGTTACCAAAAATTGTTTTATTGTTATTAATTGGTGTTATAGGCGAATGATGAGGATAACGTGGGTAGAAAAGGTTAGAAATGAAGAGGTATTAGAAAGAATAGGAGAACAGAGGACTCTATGGAAGTCAATAAAAAATAGGCGGGATGGGTTGGTAGGACACCTTCTCAGGCATGA